AAGCTGAATTTTGCTTTAACTTTTCAGTGATTTAGAAAGCAACTTTTCGCGACATTCATTTTTTATTCGTCTTTGACTGCTAATATTTACAGATGCCGCTCGTAACTGATACAATGAACGTGACATTCAACTGGTGGGGAGGAGGGAATCAAGATGAGATAAATCAGCGAGTCTTCGATTTTGACGATTGGAATATCTATACCCTGGCAGAATACAGCCCATTTTACGTCACTAAAGAGCTCTTCATAAACTTTTGGTGGACACCTAACAAGGCATCTTCTTGGTTCTTTTATCTCGAAAAATTTAGCATAGGATAAACAGTTCGTTAGCTAATTTTTAGCATATAATTTAAGCCCTTTATTCAAAATTTATTATTTGGTTACGGGTTAAAGCAAAGATATACACAGGGTTAGAGAACTAGGCAGTGACTTGATTCAGAAGGTTGTAGGGCCAGCTGGCAACAAAAGTTCTTAGTGAAACTACAGAGGAAGACTTGCATGGACGAATGTACAACTCTAAAACGTTGACAGTGACAAGAGAACGATGGCATGAGTTTCCATTCCACTACAAACCACGTCGCCCTTATCGAATTATAAAAGATTTGACAATTATGCCGAACGCAACGTTAACAGTTGAGAGAGGTGTTGAGGTGAAAATTGACCGTAAACTTTAAGAATCTTTTTTCTATTTTTGATTTATAAGCATTATTACCATTATTGTTTTCTAAACACTTCTGTTAAGGTACATGTGTGGCCGAACGTTCGTATTTTGGTGCTTGGAAATTTGATTGCCAATGGCACTTTTTGGGAACCAGTTCGTTTTAAACCTATCAATGTCACAGAATACGACGAATCAAAAGATAAAATTAGTACCAGATACAAGCGAGTGATTGTTACAAGAAACAAAAAAAGACGGATTATTAACTTCAGGCGCAGACTGACCGTAATAAGGGCCAGACGAAGAAGCGAGTGGTAAAAATTCAATTTTCTGAAAGCTTCTAGAACAAATAGACAACGAGTTTTTTTCATGCAGCAACGTTATTCTTTCTCAGAATAGTAGAATTATTTGAATTTTTTTAGGATTGGTCGTGACCTTGTTTACTCTCAGTTCCCTTCTCTCAGACGCGAAATTCCATTTTATCAGCAATTCTCCATTCGTTTAAGTAATATTAGCCAGTTATCAGGTTTCTTGGAGATTTATAATGCAACCACTGGTGAATGGGTGCCATCATGCGATAAGGAGTTCACCATTAGAAACGCTCAAGTAATACATGTTGAACGTTCGCTCAGTTTTGTTACTGATTTACAACCAAGGCAAAAATATAGTTTTAGGTTGTATGTCGTGAGCTGGGCTTTTTCCCAGCCAATGCGTATCACTGGTTAACCCCTCGTTGGGAGTATAATCCTAAAATTAGAATCTTGAAAACATATGCTGAACCACGCCAATGTCTTGGTAATGAAAATGCTTTATATCAGTGTCCGATGAGGTTGAATGGCAACATCACAATGTGGCAGTGTATGGATAATGAACATTTCAACTTTGTTCATTGTGGCCGTGGCGAAAGCCTTAATAAGTAACAGTTTAATTACAAGTCTATTTACTGGATACGAAATGCATATATATATATATATATATATATATATATATAT